GATCGAGGTACTTGCTTCCCTTCTAGAGTCTCGAGCTTGTACATACCTTCCCCATATACCCATCTTACTCGGTATGGACCTTCCCAATTTGGTCCGAGCTTACCGACACCGGGCTCAGGTACCATAACCTTCCAAAGAACCAGCTCGCCGACGCAAAAGTGTCGCTTCTTGACCCGGGCGTTATAGTACTGAACTACTCTCTGTTGGTAAGCTGCAGTCCAGATGTATGCCAGGCCTCATACTTCTTCCACCAGGTCTAGGTTAGTACGGAGCTCGTCATCATTCATCTCTTCGTCGTAGGTCTCCAAGCGTAGTGTAGGCACCTCGATCTCTGTTGGGATCACCGCTTCTTTGCCATAAGTGAGATTAAAGGGAGTCTCACCTGTGGCAGTCTTGATGGTAGTCCGGTAGGCATAGAGTACACTAGGTAGTTCTTCTATCCACAATCCTTTGGCTCGAGCTAAGCGACTTTTCAGTCCGCGAAGTATGGCTCTGTTGGTGACTTTCGCTTGCCCGTTCGCCTGGGGGTGTGCCACCGAGGTGAAGTTTTGCTGAATTCCCATTTCAGCACACCAATTCTGAAATTTTATATCCTCAAACTACTTCCCGTTGTCGAAGATAAGTACCCGAGGTAGCCCGAAACGACACACTATGTTCTTCCAAAAGAAGTTTTGTATGTTGCGGGTTGTGATTGTTGCTAGAGGTTCAGCTTCCACCCACTTTGTAAAATAGTTTACTACTACGACCAGAAACTTCCTCTGTCCTGTCATTGGCGGGAATGGACCAAGTATGTTGATTCCCCACTATGAGAAGGGCCACGGGCTAGTGAGGTATTTCAGATCGGCAGTAGGTCGGTGGTGGATGTTAGCGTGCCTCTGACACTTATCGAACTTCTTAACGAGCTCGAGTGTGTCTRCCTTCATCGTGGGCAAGTAGTAGCCTCGTCGTAATGCCCTTCTCTCTGAACTACATTGAGGAGACTCTCCTACGACCTCGGGCACTTCTTGCTGGTGATGAAGTGCAAGGTAAATAACTCTGTGAACTGTGCCCAGCTCTTAATCAATCCCAGTGCGAGGTTCCGGTACTACGTCCGAACTACCCCCTTGAAAGTGGTGGAGAAAGCCACACACATGCAAGACTCGTCAGCCTTAGCTAGGTGCATCTGGGACTGGAAGGAGTCCACATGATCATTAGGATCAAAAGATCCCTCATATTTGTCCAGGGGAGGCATCTTGAAATCTTTGGGCATCGAGGTCGCCAAGAGGTCAGGAGACAGGGGAGACGACCTGGAAAGTAGGGGAGGAGCGGCCTTTGTGGCTACCAAGCTCGCCTCCTCCTTACCTTTAGTCTGTTCTTGTTGGTTTGGTCTCACGAGCTGGTTGTTCTGGGCTGAAGTTCGGCGTGCCTTGCAGTGCCTCCGTTGATGCTTCTTTATCGGCTCGGCAATGGTGCTGCTAACCTCGGTATGCTCTGGTATTGTTCTGCCACAAGGTAACACCTGGTTCCTCGGGGGATTCTGGGGCTGGCTATCATGGACAGAGAGGCCATGCTTTGAGTTCACACCCAGAACCCCAAACCGGTTACCTGCAAGCGACCCATCTTGCTGTGAACGCCGAGGAAGATTAGTCCTGTTAGGTTGGGTATCCCCGGACCTGTTTCCGAGGTTCCCTTGTGAAGTTGGTGGAGTGATCTGACTGTCTCTCCACACGCGATGTGAGACTTGACTTCTAGGAGGAACTGGGACTTGGGAAGTCTCTTCGCCTCAGTGGGGAGATCGAGTGGTGTACTGGTTCACGCAAGGTCGGTTTTGGTTCTGCTGGGCCCCTGGGTGCCGAGGTGGATCCGGTTGTTGGCTCTACAGCAATGGGGGGAACTGCTGGTAGAATACGTACTGCTGGTATTGTTGAAATTGATGGACCTGCTGCATTTGGACCTGAATGGCCCCGCACATTGCACCAAGTCATCGAACTGGGACTGTCCAACTCCGGGGGGAATGACAGATGGCTCAGAAATGGTTGCGCCCACCATTGGGTGAAGTGGGGCGTTCACCTGTTTGGTGTTTTGTGGCATGGTCAGTGTTGGGACTCCAGCCGTAGTAAGCTGGATGGTGAATTGGCCAATGCACACTGAAGAAAGTTGAGGTTGCCCCCCGGAGACGTTCATCTCGCTACTCCCTGCTGGAGGATGACTTTTTGATCGAGTTCCCACAGACGGCGCCAATTGATGTAGCGCGATCTGACTACTCCCTGCTGGAGGATGATCTAGCTTCTAGTCGGGCGGCGAGCTAGGTGAATCTGCAAGAAAGGATAAGAGAACCCAGGGTAGCTAAATGGCGAGGTCGCTCCGATCCTTAAGTCAGTAAACTGATGCGAGCTGAAAAGCTTTGAGAGCTTAGAGAGCTAGAGAGCTAGAGAGTAGAAAAATCACGCGTACCTTGCACCATTGGGGTTGGTGCCTTTATATAATGAAGTAGTCGTGGAGCTCACGAAAGAGCTCCGCGATATCCGGGGTGTGGGGATAGAGTTCGTTCCGCTTTCCAAAGAACAGTATACAGGTAAGGCTTATCGTTCCACTTCCGACTCCGGCGGAGTCAAGATGAGTCCTCATCGTAATCTCAGAAAAGTCGGGATCTGTTAACTCATCGTGATCTCGAGAGATTCGGGATCCGTTGGAGAGACCTCTGGAGTTGATTACACGGGAGTCAATTACGTGGCGATTCAAGTTATTGGTCCCAAGCTGGTACTTCGGTCTTTTAGTTTCGAATTGGATTGAATACCGAGGTGCCTCGAAGCCGAGGTGAGCCTTATGCCAAGGTGACTGAATATCTGAGCTCAATTATTACGAACTAAACTTGCCAGGCTGAATTATCATCTCTTGATTAGATCGTGTTCACGTGTCCCCTTTTCGCTAGATCGGGCAAAATCACCCTTCATCACAACCCTTCTTTGGTGGCTTCAATATAGGAAAACACAAATTAAAAGAGGTTCCAACCAAAAGTTACGAGGAGGGATTTCAGATAGAGATGGTAGAGGTTGAAAGTCCTCGTAATATAATGGGTTCTATTGCCTCTCTCTCTCTCTCTTGTAAATTTGATCCTCAGGGTTACAGGGCACTGACTTTTGCTTTTCATTGGTGTGTCTAATTTAGTTTCTAGTTTCTAACAAATCTTGGGGTCAAACAATTTCAGGTTCATCTGGGCTGTCTTTAGTTTGAAAGAAATGGTAGGGAAAGGAAAACGTAGAAAAACTACCTGTACAAACAACACACCATTAGAGAAGCTCACTAAATTAACAATCTGATCTGAGTTTTAGATTTTTAGAAAGGTCTTTAGTTCAAATCCCAATAGAAGTTAATAATGTAATAAAGTATTATATTATGTCATATATTAGAAGTTATTTTTCAAGCCATTTTATTTTCCTCTTCCAAAAAAATATTATAAATTAGCATCTAATTTATTTTATTGATAAATTATTATTATTATTATTATTACAATCATATATAGAATATTGAAAACAAAGGTGTACATACAAGCTAAATTGCAAAGGGTAAGGAATTTTGTAATGGGGTCAAATAGGAAACTTCCTTACACTAACCCATATATTTCCGCCACGTACGTAGGAGGGATTGAACATTGAAGGTGTGGTTTCTGTGGGATCCATATCTGATGGACGGCTTGGATTTGGTGACAGGGTACTTGCGTGTATGTGTATGGAAGGCAGGAATGGACTGGATTGCGTAGGGAATTGAAGCTCCCTGCTTGGCACACTGAAGAAGCTTTCTAATAATATTAAGTTTGAAATATTAATGGGGGGATGGTGATGATGGGGATGATGGCATTCAACCAGCAAATCTCAGTTGCTTTTAAGTCTAAACTCTGAAAGAGGTCTGTGAGGTACATTCCGAGAAAGTCCCGGGTTTTCATTTCTTGCTCTACATCATTTTCGTCTTGATTCATGGATGATGTATATATGGACCATGTTAATTGTGTGGTATGTGGACCATATACATACCTCTATTCACTATTGATGAGGGATGAGCCCCCCGCTCATCCATTAATTGTCCAATCCAGTATTCCATTTAATGTAAAATATTTTAGTTTACGTGTGTTATCAGTTATGAGATGCTCATGCTCATTTCAACCATTGAAACTATTCCCAGTCCCAGCTGATGAGAATGGTTGGTTACTTATAAACAAAAAATCTGGTTTATATGAGGTGGAGGTTGTATATAGGGGAGGACCCACGACACATATCCACATAAAATGTTCGTTATGTATGTTATGAGAGGATATACTGGACAACTTAATCCCTCCCGAGGAGAAGGGCCAACTGCTAACGACCACATAACAGGATGAGAATTATAATATTGAGGGGACTATATATGTCTATTGTGTAATGTGAAAGGGAAGGTCTAAGACTCTAAAAGGCTCCAAACTCCAAACTAATTAAGTGTGTAAGTGGGGAGTGATGAATTGATGATGACACATTAGCTAAATAGCCAAAGGCAGGGCGAGACTAGCAAGGAATAAGCTTAAAGAAAAGGATTGGATGGGATGAGATGAGATGAGATGAGAGGAATTGAGAAGAAGGCWGACCACCTTATTTTTTTTAATTTATATTTTGAGGGACAAATGGGAAACCATCGGAGCGTGACCAAGACCAACCCGTTTTTGTAAAGGGGAAACTTCTCACGCCATCTCCCCTATTTCTTCATTAATTCCTCAACTCCTTCCTTGCCCCACACGCTTCTCATCTTTTTCTCTCAAACACAAACATAATCGTTGGGAGTGGCCATCCTAGCTTAGCTTCTCTCACTTTCTCCTAATCATATCATTCAAACGCATACTATCTTGTTGCTTTTCTTCTTCTCTCTTCCTTCAAAACTTGAACAAAATCAGTTAATTAACTAATAACAATGAGGAAAGAAAAAAATTATGAATATATTTTGTTGATATATTAATTACAAAAATTAAACATGAGAGACTGGAGACTTTATATTACTAGTTTCTAATTCATATCCATCATTAAGTATTTCTCTTTCTATAAAATATCAATTTAATTAATTAATTAATTACACTAATTTTCTTCTTAGACAAAAGAAGAAGAAAAAAAAAAAAAAACTGGAGTCTGGAGACATACAATACAAACCCTGAACAAAATGACGAGGGTTGTTGTTATGACCTGATGTATGTAATACCGGCCGGCGGTGGGTCTTCTTATTTTTCTAACAAGCTGCAGATGGATGGGTGAAAGAGTTATAGAAATGGGGTTTTGACGCCATTGCAATGGGAGCCTTGGACGATCCGTCGCTGGCGATGCCGCCGATCCTCTCACACGATGGGCACATGGTGAGGGTGGCCGCCGGCAGTTGCATGTATAGAGGCTGTGCTAGCTTCAACGCTTTGAGCTCCTGTAGCTCCTTCTTTAATCTCCTGTTCTCATCAGTGAGTGACTCGCAGCATTTCTTCAAGAACTCACAGTCTACTTCCGTTTGCTTCAGCTTTGTCCTGCGTAAAGAAAATAAAAAAAAAGAAATGATAATTAAAAACAACAACCCATTTAATTATTAATTGTCAATTTTCAGTTTAGATTTGGACCTAACACATCAAGGAAACATATCGGAGAGAGTTTTTTTTTTTTTTTTTTCAGTTCAACTACTTCTATGTTAAAGACTGAGAAGCTAGCAGACCTGGCTCTCCTGTTTTGAAACCAAACTTCCACTTGTCGAGGTCGCAGATTCAATTGTTTTGCCAAGGCTTGTTTTTGCTTCTGAGGATCGATATTTCCCAAGAAGGAAGCAGAGAAACACCATAAGGAAGCTATATATATATATATATGTATATATATAATACATGCAATCCATTGAAAATAAAAGAAAAAGGAGGTACCGGATTGAGAGTATGGTGCTCTTTAAAGCTTTCCTCCAAAAGGGCAGATTGTTCTTTGGTAAGCCTAAGTTTCTTCCTGGCACAACCTTCCTGATCATCTTCCTCGTTGACTCTGGAAGACACCCTCTCTACCTCCACTTCTTCAGCCCCATGATCCCTCTCCCTCTTGACGCTAGCGTTAGAAAAAGATGAGATTCCACTGTGAGGAGAAGCTTGTCGAACGGCGGAGGAATCATCACCCGCCTTGTCCACGTCCATATTTTCTGCCGCCGGTTGATACTTATCGTCCGAAAGGCTCAACGTTAGTAAAGGCTCTTCACTCTTGATGATCACAGCAGACGTGGAGGAGGAATACAGAAATAATTTGTCAAAATTCAAGCATGATTTAGTCCTTGGGTGATCGGATTTTGGTCGTGTCTCAGGCATAATTTGGGAGGCCAAACCCAGAGAAAGTCCCGTATTACACAGATCCCCAAAGCCCATGTTAAGTCGATCTGAATCAAGCATTAACACTCGGCAGAAATGTAGACTTATGCCTGTTGAGGCTTTGACAAATGTTTGATGGAGGAGAGAGGGAAAGAGCAGAAGAAAAGGATGAAGAGACTTGGGTCTTATTGTGGGAGGTGGGTGGGTGGCTATGCTACACCGATTATTAATCAGGGTCCGCACTCCGCAGTGAATTACTAAAGAAACGAATCTGACGTTAGAAATTACGAAAATCTCAATAATTTCTCTACAGAGGTTGACCATCAGAACTCAGAACCCCACTGCTATATTATCGGTCTATTCTCTCTTAACAAGCAAATAGAGAAACTCTCTCTCTCTCTCTCTCCGTGTGTATTGTATTACATATAGAATGGTTGGAATGAATGCATTGACATGATGAGAGTGGGTAGAATGGTCCGTCGCCCCTTGCAACAGCCAGCAGCCACTGGAGTTCGGCATCTATCAGGGAGGGCAGAGTCCATGCTTGCACCGTTCGTGCACAATGACGATGCGCCACGTGTCTGTGCGATGCATGCGAAACGAATTAAATGAAATAAATCATATGCATACCGAGATATTCCCAAAGGCWGTAAAGGCTGTTAGAACGGACTTTGCTCTGACCGAAGTCGGAATTCACTGACTATGGTGAAAATTCATGTACGCCATGTTAGTCATTATCTCTTATCTCTCTTTTTCGTGTTCTTTTTTTTGGAATAAGTAGACTGCACTCCACAGAGATCTCTGAAATTATAGCCTCTCCTAGTCTATTAATAGCTTCCTATAAATCGCATCTGTTCATGAATTTGTATCAATTCATGGTGGTTAAGACTTAGGATTCATCTCACATTTCTGAGAATGGACTGAACAGTAAAATCCCTTTTTTTTCCTTTTTAACATCTCATGTAAACAATAATAGACCAACTTTTTCTTTATTTAGCTTATGTTTCGGTGTATCCACTTTATGGGGTATTCTTTTTTTTTTTTGTTCTCTCACTATTTTGCTCTTTTATGTGGTTTTAACATCTTCCAATAGTAATATTATGGAGCTGAAGTTTGTCTTTTGTTGATATGGTAGAAAGTAGAAACGATGACCAGCTTTAATATTTACTTAATTATCATCATCATATCATGTCTTTTCTCAACTACATGAGTCGGCTAAAAGGGTAGTCTAGCACACAAGGCTCCCATTAATATGAGATTTGTGGAGGGATAGATGTATGCAACTAACCCCTATATATATGGATTGAGAAATTATTTGTAAAATTTGAACCCTAATTACCTAAAATCAAAACGGAAGACCCAACCATTGAGTCATGGTCCACAATCCAAAGAGTTATATATTGGTAGAGCAACTAATTGAAATGGTGGAGGTATAAAGAGGACTTAATGACCCAATTTCTGTTTCTGCTTGTTTCTTTTGTTGTTACAGGAAAATAGAAAATGGAAAAAAAAAGGGTAATAGTATATAAGGGCAACTTTTGAGGTTTAATATCAATAAAAGTAATATTTTTAATAAAATTATAAAAATAGGTTTACTTTTTAAAAATAATATCAATAAAAGGTAAAAAGACTATTCGCCATCTTCTTATTGCCATTTGTTCACCAGCACCACCGCACGCCGTCRCCTCTGCCTTTGCCTCTAGCAACATTGTCGGAGGTGGCGGTGGCRGTGGCGGCGCTGATGGTCATTTCTTTGCCCAACGCCGCCACCTTCGCCTTTGCCTCCAACAACATTGCTGGAGGTGGGTGGAGACAGAGGTGGTGGCGGCGACGCTAGGCAGAGGAATGACCACTAGCACCGCCGCTGCTACCTCCAGCAATGTTGCCGGAGGCGGAGGTAGAGATAGGCGGCAGCGGACAGCAGTGGCGGGTGGTGGCGGACGACGGCGCTAGTGAATAAATGGCAAGAAGAAGATGATGAACAGTATTTTGTCTTTATTGATATTATTTTTAAAAAGTTAATCTATTTTTAAATTTTTTTAAAAATATTACTTTTATTAATATTAAACCCCAAAAGTTGCCCTTATGTGCAATTATCCCAAAAAAAACCATATCCTACCTAAGTGGCGGAAGAAGATATATATGTACGGATTTCAAACAGGTATAGCAAGAATCTGGATCTTCGGCTAACTAGAAAGTTGATGTATAAGAGTGGTTCGGAATTTGGACTTCGGATTCCCTGATGCAAAATGCATGGTACATGAACCCATTCATTCAATAATGGTTTGTCGGTTATGCTACTGGAGCTTTGGATCACCTATAGCAATTATATGATAAATTTAAGCCATCCTTTTTTTTTCCAGACGAGATGGATGACCGATGACGCAAAGTGGGACCTATAAAGTTTAAATGGGACCCGAAACCCGGACAGACCAAATTAACTTGGGTCTGGCTCCGACTCCTTGGTCAATTCATTTAGGAGATACCTCGTAGGACGACGGAGAAGTAAATCAGTAGACAGATATTGTATGCCGGAAACAGGGGTATTCAGCTCCTAGCTACAACAGCCGCACCTGGGCCTCTATCGGATTTCGGACTTCGGATTTTGAATATGAATTAATTCAATCGAATTTCGGATTTTTGGAGTCCATTGACTGTCCTGATTGCATCTCCTTCACAGAAACTGCTTCAAAATTCAAATCTCTCGAATCAAGATATTTAATGTGTTGAACAAGATTAAGTTTATTATTTGATGATACACCTGGAGTGAAGTATGGGGTTAAAAAATAGGACAACTGGGTCCTGGGATGGGAATAGAATGACCAAAATCTTATTAAATTAGAATTAAGGGTCTGTTGGGTTTACAGTTGGAATCGGAATCGGAATCGGAATCGGAATCAAAGTCTTTTGAAATTGAAAATGAAATGGCCCATTTCTATAATCTGTTTAGTTCAGACAGAAATAAAAATGAAAATTGAAATCAATAAGAATGAAATTTTATTCTCAAGAGAGGGGAAARGAATGGTCATTCCAACAGGAGTGGGAATGGGATTCTAATTCCACCTGACCAAACAACTAGAATCAAAATAACCCATTCTAATTCCAATTTCAGACCATTATTCCTGCAAACCAAACGGAACTTAAGATTCAAGCCCAACCAACAACCAACTGGACTTAGTCAACCGAACATTACCAAAGACCAAGGAGTGAGGAAGTGTTGGAGAAGATGCTACGCACCTGATTCGTGGAAGGGAATTCTTTTCATTCTTTTTCTTAGTTATTAAGGTCCTAGTTTCGGATCAATTAATTAACGCCCTGTAAACCCTAATATTTTTGGGGAGATGGTGGTCCATACACTTAATTAGCAGTCAAGGTCATTGAGCTGGTGTTCCAGAAATACCCATCTCTTGTTGGTTAACAATTAAATGGAACAAATTGACCCCTTCTTATTTCTGGGAAAAAAAGAAGGAAGAGGAAATTTGTGATCTCAAGACTTTGAAGTATTTGTTTAGTGCAGATTAAGAAAGGATTATTTAAATAATTAAACCTTTGTCGACAAAAATATCAACAGCAATGAACAGATAGACATTGACTGACACTAACTCAGAAATCAAAATTTAATATAGATGATAACTCTAGCCAGCTATTACGGATTAGTACAAGTATCGATCAATCATAAAATATTTGCCTTAATTAAATCAAACTCACCATCTCATCCGACTGGTGCAAGCTATTAATTAAAGAAGAGAAAGATTAGTCATAATTAAGTAACTATAATTAACAACTCTAGYGGAGGTTCTCCTATTAAATTGTCACTTGTCCAATCTCTAAGTTCAAAGTTGAAACCTGCTGCTAGTGCTAGCTAGAGGGTGGTCATTGTTATATACACATATATTGTTGATCTCTCTTTATATGTGGGTGTGGACTGTGGACACACCAATGATATGATAGATCGGGGATAGAGAGAAGATGGATCCCACCAATGATTTGGTATGACGGTCATTCGATTCCTTGTGGAGCTAGAGTAGAAGTTGGGTTACGGGTGGATGATGGATGGAATTAATTAGAAGGAAGAGAGAGAGAGAGAGAGAGAGAATTGAAAGAGATAAGGTATTAGGATGTCCTCCTGCTGTTTGTCCTATCATTTACGCCCAACCGACCATGTTGATGTTGGTAAAGTGAGAAGTGGTGTTTGTTTGGCTTTTTCTCGGGGCTTCCCCACACCAACCGTCCAAATCAAGCAAGTCCAGACTTTTGTCTTCATCGTCCACTTAACATCTTATTTATGCTTTCTTCTTTTCTATCCACCATCATCCCCAGGCGCATAAACCCCAACAACGGATTACAATTAATGAAAACATTTGATGATTTTATATAAAAGCAAAATTGACATTAAAATATGTTTAAATTTATGACATCAACAATTATTATTAGATTTCTAACAGAGATTTACAAGTTGTTTAATTATCCTAAAAAAGTCAGGGGAAATTTAAGGGTAGGTCAAAGTTGAGAAGAGAAAACCAATCAACAGAGGGAGGTTTAAGCTAGGGATTTATCCAAATAACTGAAACAAATTAAAAGAAAATTATAATCGACATCGTAGAGACGAAAAAATAAGTTGGGCGTAACAATTAACTAATAGGCTTTTAGTGTAAAGTAAAAAGATGACGAAAGGGAAAATGGATGGAAATGGGGCAAGGAAAGTGTAGTCAGAGTAAAAAATGATCTGCTTTTGATTTGATGAGAGAGTGTCATTCATGGAGGCACCGACTTTCTAAAAGAAAACATGGCTTGTCCCACTCGGACTCTATCTCTGTGCCATATTGTGGGATTGAGTTTTCAGAGAGAGAGAAGAGGAGTTGTATAGTGACTCAACATATATCAGGCATAAAGGACCCACGTAAATTATTAGGCGGAATGCAAAGCAAAACTGTTGTGGGGTTGTTGGTTGTGGCAATACACAGCGGCTTAGTTAAGGACTTGCCGGCTAACTTGTGGTACAGACTTAAAGCAGAAGGGGCTCCACAACTGCTTGGACCTTATTAATTTCTATATATATTCTACCTTGTTACTCAGCATGCATCCAAGCTCTTCTGTCTTCCGTGTCTATGTCTACACTCTACATTTTACTTTTCCATATCCTTCATCTTCACAGCGGATTTGGCCCTCCAGTGACATTATGGCACTTGGCACCGCATAACATCTAAGTGCAGCCTCGTGACAATTAGACAGCTCCTTATAGGTAGTTCGGCATCTGGTCAGCCCGGCACTTCACAGGCAGTTCACCATCGTGTAACCTGGCAACTTAGACAACTTGGCACTGCACAGGTAGCTCGCTACTAGGCAGCTCGCCACTTACGGGCAGCTCACTTA